AACCTAAAATCAAAACGTTGATACATTTAATTAGGTGGGGGGAAGTCTATGATTTTACCCATTATGTTAGTCCTTTGGATTGTTCACAGATTATACATATTTCTCTTCCTTCCAGCTCCATGGTGGGAATGTACTGTTTTGTCCCCTATTTATGAATGTAGCCATATCTTAAGGCTTTAGTAGCTGGGGATCAATTTGCCCTCTCCTGCTCCTGTGATGTTGGAGTCTCCCTGAATAAGGACAACATGAGCATAATTTTCAGCTAACCCAAAATGCGTTTCATCTTGAAGGAGAAACGAACATATGCTGTCTTCAGTCACTAAGATTTTAGAGTCATTGGGAGCCTCAGTGGCATCGTGGGCTATGAACTGAGTTGCTAACTACAAAGCCAGCAGTTCTAATCCATCAGCCTTTCCAAGTGAGAAAGAGGAGGCTGCCTGCCTTGGTAAATATTTAGTCTCGGGAATCCAATGGCCACGTTTTACTCTGTCCTACAGGATTCACATGAGTTGGAATGGACTTGTTGGCAGTGGGTTTGGGTTTTTGAAGCCCTGGTGGTGTAAAAGTTAAGCATTGGTCTGCTAACCGCAATATTGGGGCTTTACACCCCACCCCCCGAGAGACTCTGGGGGAGAAGACATAGCTATCTACTTCCATAAGATTGCCGCCAAGAACATCCTGTGGGGTCATTCTACGCAGTTACGCGTCATCACGAGGAGCTGAAAGTGTCTAGTTGGCACTGAACAAAAACAATTTCACCAAAACCTGAGCTGTCCTGGTTGACTGGAATGAGGTGAGACTTGGGGAATTTCAAAAGAAGATAAAGGTATTTTGCACCTGGCAGGGGTTCCAAGACTTCTTGGAACTTGAAAAACGGCCCTTACCTCTAGCCTCCGGCACTCATGCACTTGCGTGGCCTACTCTCCTGGAGTGTGGAAGACACTTCATGCTTTTATAGCTTTTCTGTCAACTTGCGTGGCTAGGCTGACACCTTGGGAAGGCTCCTCCCCTTTTCTTCTTGCTGGGTCTAGATTCTGCATCTGTCTCCTCAACGTCTAGCTCTTTGAGCTTGAGCTAACAGCCTGCCATAACATCTGCTGATTCTGGGAGCTAACAGCAGCCTGCCATATTGCCTTCTGCCCTCGGGTTCATATGCCTCTGTCTCCATCAGCCTGTGGCTTTCCTGCTTCCAGTTCCATCTTCCTGCTTCCTGGCTCACCATCCCCGGCAGCTTTATGAGTTAGAAAAATCCTATTTAACATCTGACACATGGACTTAGAAAAGACTGGGCTTAATCAGTTTTAGAACTGTGTGAGCCATTTCTTGGATATAAATTACTTTTTAAAAGTACGTATATACACATATTTAATATATATAATATATATATATACACACACACATATAATACACACACACACACAGTTTGTTTCCCTTGAGAACCCAGCCTAACACAGGATGGGATGCCTTTTGGGCAATTAGATTATAGAAAGACAGTGACTTCCTTCTTGCTTGCTGCCTCTCACCTGCTGCACTCTAAACGTTTGTTCTATGGAAACCAACTGTGACAATCGCCCCAGGAGGAGACCCACTTGGTAAGGCACTGATATCTCTGGCTTGCAACGCAGAGACGTGCCGACAGACATATTAATGAACTTGGAAGTGGAACCTGTGCCATTAGAGATTATAATGACCATATTCCTGGTAGACATCACAGCTGCAATTTTCTGAGAACAGAGCCCGAGATGCCCAGCTAACATGCCTGCTTTCTGAATCTCATAAACCAGGTGGTGGTTCACAGCTGCTACATTTTGGGACTATAGATAACTAATCCACTTGATGAATATTTTCCTAGCTAAGTCAACTGCACCGATATTTCAGACACATTTAACATTGTTGCCCGTTGATCACTGTATATGAAAGTCAGAGCAAGGTTTTCACTGTCTGTTTATTGCAGTCCTATAATCTGTCCAGACCTTATCAGTGAATGCATGGATCCCAAGGATATGTAAGAATCACACTCCTACTTTAGTTATGTAAACCGATTCATTAATGAGCAAGGTTTTCCACAGGAAAATAAGATCCAATTAAACATATGATCGTTAAAGTATTTAAGACATTAGGAAGTTGGGATTTTGGGCCCTCTTTCATTTTTGCAGATAACAAAAAAATGTAATTTGCACATTGGAGAGAAATATGGGATTTTATTAGACTATGTTCATATTGCCCCAATAAAAGCCAACTTCTACTTAAATAGCTCCCCTAGTCTAGTACTGCACTGGGAATTTTATCAAAATATGATGAAAGCAGTCTAAAGACAGGATGAGATTAAAGCTTTCAAGTGATTCTGAATCCCCCAAATCCAAAAAACGAGGGCATGACCCCGATACTCTCCCCATAGTTGGTCAATATCCTGAGTCCAACAGTAAATCAAGGCGTTAACAGTAAAATCTATACTACCATGGTTTTAAAAAAAGGAAAATTAAGAACTTGCAAGAAAATAAATGGCGAAGCATTTGGGGAGACAACATAAGCTCAGTTCTCATGAGGGGAAAAAAGCACTCAAGGGCTGCAAAATCTTCCACAGGAACCTACCGACAATAGTCACCCTGGATCCCCGAGAGAGGCACACAGCTCGGACACTCGTGTAAGTGGAGACGCATCGGACAGCTATTAAAAGGTTTCTTCGGAGGTGAGTACAATTGTTTTCATGTTTGAAGTCTGCCCTGTTTCGATTGTGATGAATACTGTGGGAGCAACAATTCATAATTTCCCTTTCTCCTTGTTTGTTATCACAAAAGACTCTGTCTCAGGGGGCTGTGATTAAGATGATGAGACAAAGAAGACAACAAATAGCAGAGTCCCTTTAAATCTGCCTGAAACCAGAGCTGTGCCACTTCATATGAAAGACTCTTCAGAACGCATAATGAAATAATCATCCTTTCTCCGGGACTGATAATGAAATGAAGGCTAGCTGTAGACTTGGGAAAATTAATATGCATTGGTGGGGGGGGGGGCAGGGAAGAAAGAGTCAACTACTGAAAATGCACTGTCAATAAATATCGGAGGCTGCAGAGACGTTGCAAGATAAGCCACAGCATATGTTTCTCCAGGGAGAAAATGGCAATAATTTCTCAGAGAAGAGATGCTGATAAGGCCCCCTCCCCTCCACCATGCAATCATTTTGCATTTTATATTATTTGAAAAGAGCTTGATTATTTTTCTTTGGAAGAAACTAGATTGATTCACATTTACCTGTCAACAGCATGTTCTATTCCTCTGTTTTGCCTGTCGATTTAAAGGCATCTGACCTGACTATGAAATTCCAGAGAGACAAACCTTTAGTTTGATGTAAATAAAGAATAATGAGTGACCAGCTCATGTTTTTTTCCTATTTCTTTTTCCTTTTGTGCCAAATTATATTAAATTAAAACCCTCTGTCTGAGAAATATGGCACCTTGTTAATAATGGATGGAAGTCATGAAAATTGCTTTATTCAAGGTCAGATATAATCTTGAAAGAGTATATCCAGAGAGAAAACTGCCCAAGCAAGTGATAATTATCTATTTTAAGCAGAAATTTTAAAAGGGAAAAGCATAACATATCGTCCCTTCTAGTTTTGTAAACTTGTATGGATGGGTAAATATTGATCCATTAAGAAGGGACAGGCAAAACCAATATGTAAACACAAATAAGAAGTGTTTATTTAGGCAACCAATTTGTGTAGGTATTACCTAACTTATCAAAGGAGGCTGATGGGATGCAGAACTCTAGGGGGACAGTAGTTCTAAAGGATTTGCAGAGTATTTCTAAATATAATACAGTCACTGTCTATTACTGGAGGGTACTAAGCACAGAGAGTTCAATGGGCCCCCAAACCCCTGGGGTCTAATATGGGTTGTGCGGTTAATCACATATATATCTTTAATAAACTGATGAATTTCCTTTGTTTTAGTTTTCACATTCTATTCAACAAAACAACTGAAGAAATGTATCAAGGGCCAATATCCAGCTCTTGAGTACTAAGGCAGTACTTAAGTAGTTCTATATTTGTGAATAGAATCAAGTTGACTCTGAGTCACAACAACTTTATGGGTAATGGGAGAAAGCATTGCCTGGCTCTGTGCCTTCTTCCAGCACCATACCCATTGCTACTGAGTTGATTCTGACTCATAATGATCCTATATAGCATTTCCAAGTCTGTAAACATTTCTGGGAGTAAACACACTCATCTTTTTCTCACAGAGCACCACAAGACCTAACCCACAGAACCACCAGGTTCTTTTCCTGTACTATAAGGCATAGTGTCTAGCATCACAGCAACAAGCAACTGACCACACTGCAAAAACAAATAGATAGTAATTACGGTAGATCATAACATAGTTCATTCATAATATCCATGTTTATGCATATGAAGCAGTAGTTGACAGATCCAATAGCACATTGCATTAGACAAACCTTCCGTACAAAATCTCTTTCAAGTGTTGCAAAGCCTGGATATGACGATGAGCACTAAGGTGTGTCCGACCCAAGCCATTGTGTTTTCCACAGCCTCATATGCATGTGAAAGTGGGATAGAGCCTAAGGAAGACTGAGGAAAAGTTGATGCATTTGGACTGTGGTGTTGGTGAAGAATATTGAGAGTAGCATGAACGGCCCAAAAAGCAAACAGATCTGTCTTGGAGGTGGGCTAGAAGGACTGTTCCTTAGAAGCAAGAATGGAGAGATTTTGTCTCACGTATTTAGGACAGGTTGTCAGGAGAGGCTAGTCCCTGGAGAAGGGCATCATGCTGGGTACAGTGGAGGGGCAGTGAAGGAGAGGATGGCCTCGACAAGATGGATCGGCACAATGGCTGCAACAATAAGTTCAAATATAACAATTATGGGTAATACTTTGTTCTGTTGCAGGTAGGGTCTCTATGAGCCAGATGTGGTTCGAGGGCACGCAACAGCAACCACAAGACCCTGCAGATTGATTTCTTAACGCTGTTGAAAGAACTCACCGGAAAAGTTTGATTTAAGATCCAGGTTTGTAAAATGAACCATTACATTCTGTACGTGGAAGGTAAAACTGGGTTTCTGAGGGAAAAAAGAAGTTTGGGGTTATAGGTGTCAATGCTGTTGATTATTAGCAGAATATCACATTTAGCCTAACCATACACCAACTGGTTATATTCCTAGGTTGACTAGAAGGGTATATTTCTAGGGATTTCTTAAGAAATACACTGGCCTCATTTTAGGGATGTTTCTCAGTGGGATTATGTTAATATAAACTTTGTCATTTTTCATATTTCAAAAATGCCCAATTATTAATTTTTCATATTTGAAAAATGCCCAAAGTTTCTGGAAAACTTCGATTATCTTTTCATTCAATTTTCCCACAAACTTGTCAAAGCTCCCTAGTATATATAGCAGGGGGAAGCCTAAAAAAAAAACCTGGATTGTTTTTTCAAAGCTTTGTATTTAAATTTTTTTCACCAAACAAACATATTACTTTCAAACTACTGTCCATTACACTTAATAACATTTGTGAAATCTGTGATTCCATTCTTGGAAATATCAGTCAAACTCATCTGTGTGAAATACTGCTAGCAGCTTCCTCATTTTTTTCTTAACCTTTTCTATGTCATCAAATTGCTGTCCTTTCATCTGCCTCTGCATTCACAGAAACAAAAGGAGTTGCACAGATTGAGGTCAGGTGAGTAAGGTACATTGGGCAAGAGAGGCATGCTGTTTTGTGTGTGCGAGTGTGCGCGCGAGTGTGTGCTTTCCAAAAAGTGGCGCGCTGTGATGAATGCTTGAGCAGGTGAATTGTAATGGTGGCAAAATGAGTCCACTCTCTGGCATAAATCAGGCCTTTTTTTGGTGGCACACTGTTATTCAATCTTTTGAGAACCTCTAAATAGCCTGATTAGCAGTCTGACCTGGTAGAACAAGCTCCAAATACACCATCCCCCTCACATCAAAACAACAAATGAGCATGGTCTTGATCTTTGATTTCACTTGATGAGCTTTTGGGGGGTAGGTGATGATGGCATCATCCACTGGCTTGCTTGATGTTTGGCTTGGGGGTCCTAAGAATAGCACCATGTTTCATCACCAGTAATGACATGGGAAAAAAGTCTAGGCTACTTCAGAGCTGTTCTTTCAAAGTATGGCATGTTTCAGCCCAGGTTTTTTTCCCTGGTCAGTCGGAATCTGAGGCAAACATTTTGCAATAATCTTTCTCATTCCCAAATCTTCCATCAAAATTTGCTGAACTAAGCTGCAAGATAGTCCAGAGAACTCCCCCATCTCTTCAATGGTCTGTCATCAGTCTTTGAGCATGAATGCACAAATTGTGTTGACATTTTCATCCATTCAGGAAGTTGATGGATATCCAGAATGACATTTGTCATCAATGGACATTTCACCTTTTTTGAAATGAGAAAATCGCTCGAACACTTGAGTTTTTTCCATAGCGCTGTCCTTGTAAGCTGTGCTCAACATCACAACAGTTTCTGCAGCATTGTTCCCGAACAAGAAACAGAATTTAATGGCCACATGCTTTTCTCATAAATCAGCCATCAAAAAAGATGAGGCTCCAGTGAAACTACTTCTACTAAAAAAATCAGTGTAATCAGAAAGAACCTTCCTGGGCAACGCCACTGGGTGCACTAAGTCAGAGTGAGTTACTAGATGCTCGCTTAGTGGGAAAAAGGCGTATTATGAAAGATCCACCCAGCAGAGCTTCTTCCATTCTTTTTTTGGGTGGTGGTGGGAATAGCCCCTTGTGTGTGTGTGTGTGTGTGTGTGTGTGTGCAGATATATATATATATATATAAATTAAACTGTCCCATAGCATAATGGGTTATGCACTAGTCTCCTAAACGAAAGGCCAGAAGTCCTAACTAGAAGCCTCTCCTCAGGAGGAAAATGAGGCTTTCTATTCTGTGAATCTGTAAAGATCTGTAAAGATGTATAGTGCCAACCCCGCCCTGGGGCAGTTCTACTCTGTCTCATATGGCTGTTACGAGTCAGAATCAACTTGGTGACAGTAAGTTTGGAATTTATAGCACTTTCAAAGCTATGCCCTTTCTGAAGCAGGTCAATGTGGTTGTTTTAACGGACATCCTTTGGACTAGTAGTTGAAGCTTAAACGTTTGTGTCACTCAAGGTTTAGACTTATTTCAAAAGCAATTGGTAGTATATTTCTACAGGCTTAAGAAAGTTCATGGCACAATTAAAAGGTAGTGCAATTTTCCCACAAACTTTTTGATGAGCCTTTGTATCAATAAACAAGTAAGCAAATACATATTTCCCCTAAACGCACTGTGAGCAAGTTGATTCTGACACAATAATTCTATATCAATACATAAGGTTTCTAAAACTGTCAATCTTTACTGCAGCAGATAGGCTCAATGTTCTCCTGAAGGGTGGCTACTGAGTGTGAGCTGTCAAGTCAGCAGGGGGCAGTTCAATGGTTACTAGACAGTGCCAAAACACTCTTTGACACACACACACCTACATTTACATTTATATGTGTTCATACATAGATTAGTCTTTGACTCATCCCAGAGCTTGGAACCCTTTGTCTGACGAGCATTCACTGCTTTCCAACAGCTATAGTATCAGAGTGCTTTTTAGCAAGAAAAAAGAAGAATTTTCTTCAGTCATCAACATTATTCACATGCAAAAAATTCCACACATAAAGAAAGTTAAAAAATACATAAGGACTGTAAATTATTCACATAACTATGGGACTGAAACAATTATAAGTTATCAAGGGTGAGAGAGAAGAACTATCTAAGAAGTAGTGCTAGAAATAACACTACGAATAGGTCAATGATTAATTTCAAATATATTCAATAAACACGGGCATTTAGGAAATATCAGAAAATTATTCTCAATCTTTTTAACCTCCCTTCCTTCACCTACATTATTTTGGAAAATTATAAAAAGAAACCCATTTAAGGCTGGGTAAAAAATTATATCAAACAGCTATGTCCTCTGTCATATAAGAACTTAGAGTCTGTTCATCTTTCTAACCAACCACCAGGTTGCAACTTGTAAGCAATTCAGAAATGAATAATTTCATATCTCTGCCTTTCTGGGCCTTATGTTGTCGTGGTTATGGTTAAGGGCCATCAAGTTCGTTCCCCCGCGTGGTGATATTCGGAACATCGTCATTGCCGGGTCCTGAGCCATTCCCTCAGTGGTTAGGGTTCAGCCCCTTGTTGCAGCTGCTGTTTCAGTTCATCTCATCGGGGGTTTCCTTTTTTCAATGACCTACTGTTTTACCAACCATGATGCCTTTTTCCAGGCACTGATCAACATGATAAAGGATAACTAATGGTCCCTTCAGGTAAGTGTTGGGCTGCTGGTGATTCAACCTCACCAGCTGCTAATGTGGAGAAAACGAGGCTATTTGCTGCCATATAAATGTACAGCCAACATTGGAAATCCAATGCAGGGCTGCTAAGAGTTGGGATTGACGTGAAGATGTTGGATATTTTTTTATAACAGTGATAATTAGTAACACTGATGATATGAGCCTCATAGCACAATAAAAGAGCTCATAGGATAGACATTCTGGTGGTATAGTGGTCTTCAGTCTGCCATGTAAGCTGCTCACCTGGAGGCCACTATCAGGAAGCTCTGCGGGAGGAAGAGGGGTTTTCAGCCCTCATGAAGGTGCACAGCCTCAGAAACCACAGGGGGCAGTTCTACCCTGTCCTGTTGGGTGTTTGTTTATCAGCATCAACTAGAGGACAGTGAGTTTTTTGAGGTTTTTTTTTAAGCTTTCTTTTCTAAAGCAATGATTTATCACATTGTTCTAAACTCAGACAGGTTTCAGATTCTAATTCCAAGTCTCCTTTATATAGGTAATGTTATTTTAGCAAATGACTTGACTTCTCTGATCTTTACTGTAGTTGATGTGAATATTAAATTTAATAGAAAGCATCTAGCATAGTTCAGGCATATAGTGGGTGTTCAAGGAATCAATATTAACTATTTAAAATTTGTCTTCTCCTAATAAATGTAAAAGTAACACCTGATATCTAGTTTCCATCTAGCTGGTGGCCCGACCCTCACAGCTAAATCTTAGTATTTTTCTCTGAAACATTATCAAATTCTCAGAACATCATTATCAGACAGAGTCACTCTGAGACTGTCGGGAGTCCAAATAAAAACATGACCACTCCATAATCGTGAAAGCAGAACCACGTCAAAACCCAAACCCAAACCAGACAAACAAAACCAAACCCTGCCTTTCTGGCCAAGATAAACAACTGCTTCTTCTCCAGCCGTTGCAGTCTTAGTCTCACTGTCTTCTTTCCTACTTCAAGACATGCTTTATTAAGGTACTCAAGCAGCGAACCATCCCCATTTCCGGGCAGCTTCCAATCACATCCAAAGCTCTGGTTCCTTACCCTTTGTCTAATATCACTCAACACAAACCCAATCCTAGAATAAATCCTAACACCCTCTTACCGAGGGGCCCCATAGTTCTTCCGGGTGTATTTTGCTCACTCATCCATCAGATAAGGAACAGGGAATTGCATACCTTCAAGATTCCGGATACAGGACAGGGCCAATCTAGGAACAAAACTTGGGGAGCACCAATCTAAGGGAAGGGGCTAGATTCAAGTAGGTGTTATGCGGGGAAGGAACAGAGAACGTTGACTCTTATTTTCTAACTCTGTACAAGTGAGTAAATGCATGCAGTTTAAGTTTGCTTCTATTCTTAGCTATGGGTCTGATTTTACTTTTGTGATTGAGTTTAGCGATACATTTTTTTTCTACCTAGCCTTGTAAGTTTGTATTTCTTTCATCTGTTATTTTATTTTACTTCTTTGTTAAAACTTGACATTAGGAACTAGGTGAGGCGTTCCGAGAAGAAGATTGGTTTTCCATGTATATCAATGCATCTACATGCAAAAGAGCTAGGTTGAACATAAAACGCTGAACGAAACCCACTGCCATGGAGTCAGTTTTCATGGATAGGGAACCCCTGGGTTCCTGAGACTGCACAGCTTTAGGGGAGCCCATAGCCTCATCTTTCGCCCATGGAAGAGTTGGTGTGTTTAAACTGGTGG